GCCTTCACGGTCGCGACCGTCGTCGACGCGGGGGTTTTCCTCGTGGAGCGCCGCGTCGGGCGGGGGCTGATCGCCGCCCTCTACGCCCCACAGCCCACCCCTTGCATCGGGCGACGCCGCTTCGCCGGGTTTTCGCACCGCCTCGCGGCGAACACGATCGTCTTCGGCCTCACCAGCGCCACCCTGCATTTCCTCTTCGGACTGGTTTAACGAGGGAGCGGAGGAAGGGGGGGGGGGGGGAATACTCTGAATGTGAAGTTTAATAAGAACTTTGGGTGCTTTTTTTTTTTGGAGAGGGGGAGAAGTGTCGTAGTCGGGGCGGAGAGTCATCCGATAATCTTTATAATTAAAATGAATGCGTTTATTATGATTATGTTCTTACTTACGAGTCCGGACGACGACCATGTTGGGTGATGCGATTGGGCTGCGCGTGGATGGATGCGTCTAAATTTCTGTTCCCTCGTTTTTTTCTTCTTTTTTTTTGTTTATTACCATTAGCCTATAAGTGAGCGTCTCAGGTATTTGTCCTTCCCCATTATCCAAAAAGATAACTTAAAAGATCACCGTTTCATTCCATATCCACATTACGTGTGTGTCGTTTGATAAGTTGTTTTCAATTATTACTAGCTCTTCGCCGATGAACCACTGGAGTTCGGAACAATGTGGTCAGCAGGTTTCCGAGATGTTACGGAATAAGGGAATTATTTGCAAAAACTTCTTCAACACCGGCAGCTGCCCGCGCAACACGAACTGTCCGTATATACACATCAAAAACGGCGAGGCGCGGCCGACGCCGTGGATCGCGTGTATGTTCTTCAACAACGGCGTCTGCCTTCGGGATCGCTGCGCCTACTTCCATGGAAGTCAGTCGCAGCTCGATCGGCTGCGCGCGAGCGGGGCGTCGATGTATCACCCGCAGGATTACATGCAGGTGGCGGAGCCGCCAAAGCAATTCCTCGCCCCGGATGGCAGCCTCGCGCATCGCTCGCCGCCCCTTCAACCTCTCGCGTCGGTCCAGCCGACGATGCCGACTTCGCAGGCGTCATTGTCATTATCCTCCTCGACGAGCGGGGCGCGGCCGGTCGTTCTCTCCCCGATGCTCGCCCTCGAGAAGCCACTGAGCACATTAGAGGGAGGAGTCGCACGCTGGCCAAAGGGGGAGTGCGGTGGCGGAGGGGGAGGAGCAGGGGATTACGGGGAGTTCCTGATGCATCCCCCTCCGGTTGGGCGCGCGACGATTCCGTCGATTCATTATCATTGCCTCCCCGGCTTTTTCCCCCCGCTCGCGGCGCCCTGCACGGCGGCGGTGATGCCGATGGAGGCCTACCCCTTGCCGCCTATACGGCCGATTTTTCAACCCGTGAATTCGTTTTTTTTGCCGTTTTAATGAAGTCATTTTTATCACTTTCGTTTGCTGAGTGAAATTATTTATTGTGGGTACTGGTTCCTAATCATTATTATTATTATTATTTTAGGTTATTGCTATTATTGGGTTTTCTACATCAGTGAACGCATGCCATTTACTTTCAAAACAGAGGATGGCTCTGTACATTATTTTGGGCAAATGAAACAATTTGCCTTTCTGTTTTGCTTCATTTCCTTCATGTTTACCCTTATTCTTTTTTACTTTGTTGTATGTTTTGCTTTCAGTCGTTGTGACTTCATGCTTCCGCTATCTACGTGTTCTTGTTATTGCCATGAGCGGCTTTTATTTGAATCATGCCTTGCATAGTTGGATGTAGCTAGCTTGAAATACTCATTGAGGGAGTTCCAGGTATAGTAGTGGGGGGAAAAAGGAAATTGGAAAAAAGTGTATTTAAAAAAGTATGTTAGGAAGCGGTGAATGGCTCTAAGCAAAAAATATTGCAGCCTTGATTTCCTTTCATAGAAGAACCCGATATGTGCTTATATTATATAGCTTTCTCTATCTATATAATATATCTCCGTGTGTGTATTTCAAGCATAAAGACCTAAGACGACGCAAAGCATTTACAAGAAAATTCTATGGTCTCTCTTTAGCTGGAGTAAATACCAAAGGGGAAAATCTTACTCATCTGCGTCATCTGTACGGCTTTTTTTCTTCATACCTACGTTAATTGTCTTTCGCCTAGAAAGATATGTGCATCAGTTTTTTATCAGTCTTGATTTGCTAGTAGCACTACTAATATCTTTTTTCTTACATTTGAAAGTTATAATTTTTTCAAACACTTTTCCTTCCCCATTATTATTGATGAGTTCATCAAGACATTCAATCATAATGGTAATAAAATTTATCATTCAAACCCGTATACCGCTGCTTGATAACATGAATATATATCATTTCAATAAGGAGACTTGTTTTTGTTTCCAGCGTTTCCTTAATTCTTCCCTTGTAGTGTTTACCCGGTTTAAAGTATTTTTTAGTTTTCAAATTTTTCTGTTCAGCAAAACTACATGAAAAATTTATGCCTTTTTTCCGCCGCGAGAAGTTTCATCTCTCGACAAGGAATACGTTTATTCAGTCGCTCCATTATATATATATTACACATTTTTAATGTTAATCATTTCAATTAATCCAACCCAATCGTTTGAAATGAGCTTTTAATTTTTCGTTAATGAGGTCGCTTTGAATAAATGAATTGAACGAAGGAAAGTAAAACCAAACTGATTTTAATCACTTTTTCCCTTATTGAAATTGTTTTCGTTTTACCGGTTGCTGGTTTCCCTTATTTTTGCCCATACAAACTAAAAACAGTTGCACTCGCCGTTGACATTTCCCCTGTGGTCCATAATTATGAAGCTACCACATAGAAATACACACGCATAAAAAACTCACTCAAAAAAAATTTTAATTTTCAAGGATGTAGAGGATATTAAGACGATAGGTAAAACCAGTTTTTTTATATCCGTAATATCAGTTTAATTTAAGTGTTGTTTTTCGTTCTCCAAAATTTTGGGCTTTCACAATCACCATGACTTTTTTGATGAATATTTATAGGTATTACCTTTTCTCATTCGTTGCTTGAGTAAAGTGGAAAGAGGGAAATATATTTTTTTGCGTAGAAGTACAGTAGAGATTACTGATGTTTTCTCCAAAATTAACCCTAGTTCTGATTTTTAATCCTTTCCTCCAAGTAGTGTGTGCGGTGTTTATAAATATTACTGATTTAAATACCAGAACTTCATTTTTTTTCCTTTATTAAATTGTTGTAAGTTTCTAGAGTTCTATGTGAAAGTTAAACGTCTCGCCCAACGAGATTACGTAAATTGTAAAGGATTTACCATCCACAAATAATATATTTTAGACTTTTCAAGGGAGCCATTAATATCTTCTGAGTCTAGAACTTGTTTAATGTTTGTCTATGAAGGGACTAATTTTATTAATATTGTAAAAAAATGAGGTACTTTTTTTTAATGCGTACTGCTGGATTATCGCGTTTTCAAGGTAGATTCCCTAATATGTATTGATATGGAAACAAAGTGTTCCAATAAAAGGAGCTTGCCTAATTCATTTCAATTTATTTTGTGATGTTGCGTATGTGTCATGCTACATATAAATTATGCATAAGAACTACATGTTTTTACATATGCAACCAAGTCCTTGCTTACTTTAATGTTTATTCCCATAATATGTTAATTTTTTCTCAAGGCCTAAAAACGATTTTTCTTTCTGGTAGTGGTTCATTCGGTAATTAGTTAATTAATTAATAAACATATATATGTATCGATGTATATGTGTGTGTAGTTCTATACCACATATATATATATATATATGCAGTAACCTTTTCCGGTCTATTTTAAACACGGTTGCGATCTGTTATGGGCCTCCTCGGCCGTCATACCATATGCTGAAATGTGCTTCCTCCCCCCTCCCAGCACTTCTCTCTGCACCTTTTCCTTCCCCTTCCTCCCTGTTTGTGCTTAGCTGCACTAGGTTTACCTCTCCCAGGAGGGGATATCGCGTGTTACCGGTTGAGAACCCTCCCCTCCTCGGGGCTCCATCCTTTCCGCCTCTCCTTCGCGTTAAGTCATGCGGCGGTCGGGGAGCCTGCGGAATGTCTTCGATCCCGCCTTTATGCGGCGGGTGAAACGCACCCTGAGCGGCTACGCGAAGTGCCTGGACCGCTCCGAACGCGCCGGGATCTCCCGCGAGGCCTTCGTCGACGTGGATGACAAAGGCGTCGCGTGGTATCTCGGGCACATGCGCGCGGCGAGTCTCTTCCTCGCGCAGCGGGTGCGGGAGGCCGACTTCGTCCTGGAGATCCGCGACGCGCGGTTGCCGTTCACGACGGCGAACCACCACCTCGACCGCCTCCTCGCCGGGACGCCGCGGCTGCTGGTCTTCAACAAGGCCGAGCTCGCCAACGCCGACGCGAATCGCGCGCTGCAGAGGTACTTTGAAGGGCGTGGCAACTTCCCCCTCTT